CATATCTTCTCAGGATGTTTACAAGATAATACAAATTTTATTGTCCCGATTGAGACACTAACTCAAAACTTAAGGGCTAAAATTCTGCTAGAAATTCACTTGGAAGGAAAAAAAAAAGAGTAAAAGGAAAGTTCTAGTCTTACATATTCAATTTATCTGACCATAACCAAATGGGAAATTAATTTATTCACATTACATACCAACCAACACCAAACTGGTTATAGAAAACAGATCATACCAAAATCAAACTTTAAAAAACAAAAACCCATAAACTTTAGTACCCAGGAGGACTACAATACTCTAGGGCAGTGGTTCTCAACGTTGGCTGCACATTAGTATCACCTGGGAATCTTTTTAAAATCCCAATTTCTGGGGCCTCATCCTCCAGAAATTCTGTTTCTTTGTTATGAGGTGGGGGCCACAACATTAGTAACAATGAAACAATTTCCGGAGGATGAAGCCCAGAAATCAGGATTTTAAAAAGATTCCCAGGTGATTCTAATGTGCAGCCACGGTTGAGAACCACTGCTCTAGGGCCATGGTCGGCAAACTGCGGCTCGGGAGCATGCGGCTCTTTGGCCCCTTGAGTGTGGCTCTTCCTAAGCCTTAGGAGTACCCTAATTAAGTTAATAACAATGTACCTACCTATATAGTTTAAGTTTAAAAAATTTGGCTGTCAAGAGAAATTTCAATCGTTGTACTGTTGATATTTGGCTCTGTTGACTAATGAGTTTGCCGACCACTGATCTAGGGTGTCTCATTTGTTAATTTTGAAGGAAAATAGCAAAGATGTTAACGCCTCATGGAAAAGGAAATAGCAGATTAGGCCTCAGTGAAACCAAAGAGGAAGATAACAAATCCGTTAGGAAAAAGAAGAACAAAAGAAAGGCAGAAAGTAGCAAGATAAAGGTGGGCTAGAAAGATGGCAAGCTGGCTACTGCTAAACCATGTATTGCTACCTTAGAAATACAAAGCACAAGAGCCATTCTTTCCAAGCCTCATAGTTCAGTATTAAAGAACAAAAAGAGCACTACATCACCTCCCTCTCCCTTCCTCTCTGAAATCATTAAAACATACTTTAAGAAAATAAAAAGAAGGACTTGAAAATAAGAATGAAGAACCCAAATCAAGAATCCAAACTATAGCCTTAACCAGTTTGGCTCAGTGGATAGAGTGTTGGCCTGTGGACTGAAGGGTCCCAGGTTCGATTCCGGTCAAGGGCATGTACCTGGGCTGCGGGCACGATCCCCAGTAGGGAGGTTGCAGGAGGCAGCTGATGGATGTTTCTCTCTCATCGATGTTTCTAACTCTCTATCCCTCTCCCTTCCTCTCTGTAAAAAAAATCAATAAAATATATTTTTTTAAGAAGAAAAAGAATCCAAAGTATAGAATGATGCTGCATTAGATAGAAACTAGAATCAATCAGCAAACCTACCCATGGATCCATAACACTTGGATTCTTTACCTGTGGCCGTTGCTTGTGCTGTGTCTGGTTTTGGTTTTGAGGTTGTTCCCAGTTTCCCCGGGCTCGGTTCGTGCCCACCGACGTCATCATTTACAGTATATACAAATAACAGTATTTACAAGGTAGAATACTGAAAGATTAAAAAAAAGTTTAGATATTAAATACAGGCAAAATGAGGGCTTTTAACCTCTCATCAGCATCTTCACTAAACAGTTTGTTCTTCAAAGAAATAAACCAAGAGGATTCACCTGTTCAGAGAAATTTAGTTTGACAAATTCCTTATGAAACTATGGATGTTAATCCATTTTTGTATAAGAAATGTATAAAGCATCTGTTAAATAATGTGGGTTTTTTAAGTTATGAGAACAGTTTGGTTACTCGTCCCCTATAAGCAGGTTTTGTGAAGTTTTGCTATCTTAGTAGTAGACAAAAATATCTCAAGTCCCTTTGACATAAAGGAAAGATAAAGACTGGAAACAAGTCTTCCAGGAAGAGGATTAGTCTGTACTCAATTCACCTATGAAAACAGGCTTACCTGCCTTACAACCCTTTGAGTTGCATGTGACCTCCATCATTTAAAAAAGCACAAAGTCTAGCTTCTTTCTCCCTTAAGTTTCTATCTCTCGGCATGCTGTGGGCTTCCATACTTTCCACAAGGCATGTAAGAGCCCCAGTGACTTTGCCCAGAACCTCAGTTCCCTGGATAATTCCAACACATTGCTTTTGCAGCTGCTTCTGTTGATCTCCTAATCCACAGTCCAAGAAACCAGAATTAAAATTACTCTCCACCACTCACCTTAATATACAGAGAATCCCAAACCCAAATCATCTAGCAGCACAAAGTTTTATTTGGAAGAGAGGGCTTCTGGGAAATCATTTTAAACTTGAGACATTATTGCAGGGCAAGATGACTTAGTAAATAAAGAAAACATTCATCACACAGTGGAGTGCTCAAGATAAGGTTATTCCGCATTGTTTTATTCCCTTCCAAGGAGTACAAGTTTATGCTTTTATGCTCATTTATTTATTTATTGGTTAATTCTAGACTGCTCTGAAGACATGGCTGGATTTGAGGTAGAACTAGAGTGGGCTCCTAAAGAAATATGCAAGGAATAACTATAAGGGAAGTGAATTTCACCTGTTTCTTGGTTCACAAAAAAAGTTGACTTCCTTATGGATAAATTTTTCACCAAGTTCGGTAATAGGTTGGATAGGTCTCTGTTTTGTGATGCAGTCATTAAGAATTAAGAATTCTACATCCTCTATCACTAAGAAAGAGTTGTAAGGGACTAATTTTTAACCACTACCTCCCCCCTCACACACATGTGCACACAAAGACCTATAAATATTTCTGGCTTAGTAAGGGAGTATTTACTACACAGTAGTAGTTTCCCAGGCTGGCATTATAATCAAGTTTCAATACTTAATTTACAAAAACAACAACAAAAATCTGTTGTTTAACCAAGTACCCCTGGATTCAACTAAAAGTGGGAGGGGGGGTTAAAATTAGAAGGAAACCGTTATGCTTAATAACTGGCTCTAAGATGTAGTTTCTAATATGGGGATAGCCATTCCTGTAGCTTACAACTATTGACTGCTTTCTACTCCACATGTGATTTCAATTTGTGAGCATGATTTACACTACAGCTATGGATTGCATGACTAGTGAGCTATGTGGACAACCTTACATACTGTACCAATTGATGTAAATACATTAAAAGTCATATTGGAAGCCACATAATCATTCAGGAAATGGGTGGGGGGGAATCCTGATCACTCTTGCTATTGATTTCTATTTTTCTATTACAAGTGTTTTAAAAAGTGTGACTAAGAAAATTTTACCACTTAGGTAACAACACTGAGCAACAGGTAAGCAACCTGGGATGGAGCACTAGAGGTCACAGAATTAGTAGCCTTTCAGTAGCAAGCAGACACATACCCAGAGTTATCACAGTGAAGGTGAGCAATCTTGTTAAATACTCCTTCTTAAAAAATAAAAAAGTTTAAGGGAAATAGGTGAGAAGTATTGGAGACCAAGGGACTAGAGTGGGAACAAATACAGGCTTCAACACAGGAGTGCCCTTGACCATTTTTTTGAAAACCAGCTACTTAAAAAAATAGCCAGAGAAATTTTACAGAAAAAAATAAATAACAAGTATTTATTGAGTATCTACTGTGTCCAGTGCTTGAGAAAATACAAAAGCAATATGACTCGGTTGCTGCCCTCAGGGAGCTTACAATCTAGTTTGAGAAACAATTCCGGGACCCTGAAGCTGGATAGGGGCCGGGAAGGCTTCCTACTTCTTACAAAGTAACTAACTCCCCTAGATGCTTTGTGGTACTGACCCCTTCCTCTCCTTCCCATGAACTGCCATCGAATGTCTGAAAATAGTCCTTCCCAGCTAGGACATGTTTAGTAAGGACGGGGCTTTAAAATATAAGAGCAAACGGTACACTGTAAGGCCTTTCATCATTAGTTTACATGCCAGAAACACTTCCTGTTCATAACGGAAATAATCACTGGCGTAATCTAATCTTTAGACAATGGTGTGGGGTCTCAAAGCCGTCTGGTCAACCCTGACTCGGGCAAGACGGTCCAGTGCTCAATGAATGCTGGTGGTCACCGGCCCTCATCCCCTCCCATCAAGTCCCATCCCATCAAACACCCCCCCACGCAAGACATGGGCGGTGGGAGGGGGACGGGGGAAACACAGAAAGCACTTCTCCGCCGAATAACCAGGGACAGTCCAAGGCAGCACGACAAGAACAAGAGAAACACCTATTCCTGTGTTGTTTTTCTTTCCACAACATCCTACACCGGAGGTGGCCACATTTCAAGAACAGTGGCAAAGGAGCAGTCTCCTGTTTGTGACATCAGTTCGCAGAGCCAATATAGGGGCTGCCCGTCGGGGAAGGGGCTGGGGAAACGTCTCCTTACGGTCCCATTATGAGAACAGCGAGCACCCCGGTGCTCTAGTGACGTCCCTTCGGCGGCAGGCACCCCGATGGGGGCCTCCACGTCCAGCTTCCCCCAAATAACATCATCATGGCGGGGGAGGGGGGTACACCAAACTCCAGTATGGACAACAGAAAGCTAGAGACGGCAGCAAAAAAGACATATATCCCAGGAGCTGGGGCGGTGAGGAAGGAGGAAGGGCAACAAGAAGAGCTGACAAAGAAGCTGGGAACGGAGCGGGGACGCAAACCCACGCGTTCAGGATGAAAGGCTCGCCCCGCTCCGCAGCGCCCCGTCGCCTCCTTCCCTCCCACCCGGAACCATCCAACCCCCCGCACTCCGAACTGAGGACCACATGAGCGAGTCCGGGGCAGCTCCACCCCGGCGCCCTCCCTTCCCTCCGCCACCCCCAAACCAGGCCGGATCCGGATCAGAAGAGGCCCACAGTGGGTCGGAAAGGGAGGAGGCCCCCTCGTCTTCTCCATAGGCACCGGCAGGGGCAGCGAGGGCCGTACCTCGGGCGGGGCCCAGGTCTCGCTCGCTCGCGCCTTTCTCGCT